AGGTATTATGGCGAACTTTGATGACGACTTGGACATTTGCCAATTGATCAGAAACTGATGTGGCAACTGCCCCGACGACGAGGACCACGGCCAAAGCGCGCGCGAGTGGAAACCAGCCAGCCCCACAAGGTGGTGGGGCGGGGCCGATTGCCCAGCCCAGGAAGGGCGGCAAGGGGGGTTCGTCTCGTCCCTAGCCCGAAAAAAGAAGGCCCGATGGCGCAAGGGTCAAGGAAGAGAGTCGTCGAGCCAAGCACCAATGGTTGGCCAACCCGACTGCTCTAGAAGGCTTAGTTGGGCCAAATTTTTTAGCCGGTAACGTTAATGCTCAGGATTTCTTGAGCCAGGACTTAACTTCTGAGGCTGGTCAAGGAATTTTGAGCCGCATGAGTTTGGCTCAGAAATGGAATTTCTTCTGTGAGTTCCAAGTTCGGGCCGTGGCCTTGGCTCAAAGTATTGTGATGGAGCCGAATGGCGAGGCAGATGGGCTTCGTCGTCAACTGGCCGAGCAGGAGAAGTCCCTGCAAGAATTGCTTGCTGCGCTGACCGACGCCCAAACGGCCAACGGTAAATTCCAGGCCGAGCTTGACCGCCGGGGGCATACTATCGACGACCTTGCTCTGAAGGTCCAACGTCTGGAACTAGCCTTGAAGAATGAAACAGAGAAGGTTGTCGTCCTGGGCAAGGAGTTGGAGGCCGAGAAAATAGCTTTCGGGTCTTACAGGGAGAAGGCTCGCAACAAGGTCTTGTCTCAGCATCAAGCTGGGTTTGCTCAGGCGGCTCGGCAGGCCTGCTACTTTGGCGACTTCCCCCCTCACTTTCCCCTGGAAATGACAAAAGACTTTTTCCAGGGTAAGTTAGTGGATCTGTCCTCCATTCCTTCGGACCAGCAAGCCGATGAGGAAGCTCCGGCGCGACCGACTGGGCCGATTGAAGAGGAAACAGCGTACGAAGAAACTGTGCCTGAAGATGGTCTGGTTCAGGGGGAATCGGAGGTGGGGTCTTGAGCGTTTTATTGTTCTTTGTATGGATGGGCCAATAGTGCCCTTTTTGAATGTACAGTTCTAGGCCGATAGTGCCTTGTTGAATGAATTGTTTTTCCTTGCTGTTATCTATTGGTGTAATATTTACTTTTTTCGTGATGAAAACTCGTAAGAATTGATAGAAGCCGTATCCTTGGCCGAGAGAGATCTCGGGTGGGAAGACTTGTAAAATAATTAAAGCCACGTCCTTGGCCGAGAGACATCTCGGGAGGGAAGACTTGTAAAATAATTAAAGCCACGTCCTTGGCCGAGAGACATCTCGGGAGGGAAGACTTGTAAAATAATTAAAGCCACGTCCTTGGCCGAGAGACATCTCGGGAGGGAAGACTTGTAAAATAATTAAAGCCACGTCCTTGGCCGAGAGACATCTCGGGAGGGAAGACTTGTAAAATAATTAAAGCCACGTCCTTGGCCGAGAGATATCTCGGGAGGGAAGACTATGAAATAAAATCGCAATAATGTACAACAAGTCATAGATAGTTGAACTGTCTTGTTATTGATTGAGTGGATGCCTCGTTAAAAACCTTGCCGGCCAAAACCTCTTTTCACAATTTTTTAAGAGGAAAAAAGACCGGTGCAAGGAAAAGAGTGCATCATTATACATTTTCAGATGTTCATGAATTAAATTCTAACTGTAATAGGTCTTCAAATGAGTAGAGTTCCATGTCCGAGGGATGACCTTGCTGGACAGTTCTTCTAACTTGTAAGCCCCATTGTGGAGGGCATGCCGTATCCGGAACGGGCCGTCCCAATTGGCTGCGAGTTTTCCCTCAGAAGGGTTGCGTCTTGCCGACCCGGTTGCTCTCCATACGAGATCGCCTTCATGAAATGTCCTCGGCTTTAGGTTGGAATTAAAGCGTCGGGTCATGCGTTGTTTGCATGCTTCGGCCACTACCTATGCCTTCTCTCATACTTCATCGAGAATATCGAGTTCAGCTCGGAGTGAGCTGCCATTAGACTCCTCATGGAAATGTTTTCGCCTAAAGGACGGTTCTCCCACTTCAACCGGGATCATCGCGTCCGCGCCGTACGTTAGGCGAAAAGGCGTCTCTTTGGTAGTTGATTGCGGCGTGCATCGGTATGCCCAAAGGACTTCTGGTAACTCTTCGGCCCATGCTCCTTTGGCCGAGCCGAGTCTCTTCATGAGCTTAGTGAGTATAACCTTGTTGGCTGCTTCGGCTTGCCCATTTGACTGTGGATGCTCGACTGATGTGAACCGATGCCGAATGCCAAGGGTTTCGAGGCAAATGTTGAATTTCTTTTCGGTGAATTGAAGGCCATTGTCCGAAACAATGGCGTACGGGATGCCGAAGCGGGTAACCAGATTTTTTCAAACGAACTTCTGTACGTTGGCAGCGGAGATGCAGGCGAGCGGTTCGGCTTCTATCCATTTTGTGAAGTAATCCACCGCAACGAGAAGAAACTTAACTTGTCCCTTTGCCACAGGGAATGGCCCAAGTACGTCGATACCCCATAAAGCAAACGACCATGGGGAGCTGATGCTGTGCAATTCGACGGCCGAGGCATGGATGAGATTCCCATGCTTTTGACATTGAACGCATTTTTTGACGAACTCGGTGCAGTCCCCCTTCAGAGTCGGCCAATAATAACCGGCTCGCAAGACTTTAGCCGCCAAAGTTCGCCCCCCGGAATGAGAACCACAAATACCTTCATGGATTTCCCGCATCACATAGTCGGCTTGTAGGTTGTCGATGCATTTGAGCAGGGGGGTGGAGAATCCTCGCCTGTAAAGATCGTCGGCTACTATGGAGTACCGAGCTGCTTGCGTTCGTGTCTTTTTGGCTTCCATCGGGTCGGTTGGCAGTTCCCCTTGGACAATGAAGTTCCGCATGGCGGTCATCCAGGTCGGCGTTTCAGCGCCGGCTGTCATACATTCAGTTATCACACTCGGGGAAGGAATCTTCAGGTGAATGGTTGTGCGCAATTGTCCTGGTTTCCGGCTGCTAGCGAGCCGAGCTAACTGATCAGCTCGTTCATTGTTGCTTCGTAGGACGTGTCGTATCTGAACCTCGATGAAGTCATCCTTGAGCTTTTGAAAGAGGTGGTAGTATTGCAACAGATTGGAGTCTTTGACCTGAAAGTTATCGTTGACCTGTTCGGCCATGATTTTAGAGTCGGTCCATCATATGAATTTTTTCACGCCCATCTTGGTTGCTAACCGCATCCCAGCTATCAAGGCTTCGTACTCTGCCTGATTGTTGGATGCTCGGAAGCCGAAGCGGAGGGATTGTTCTACGGTAATGCCCGAGGGACTAGCCAGAATTACGCCAGCGCCACTGCCTTGGGCATTAGAGGATCCATAAACATGCATGGTCCACAGCTCATCTTCAAAACGACCCGGAGGAGTGAGCTCGTTAACGAAATCAGCCAAATGTTGTGACTTGATGGGACCCCTCGGCTCGAAAGATACGTCGAACTCTGAAAGCTCGACCGACCATGCCATCATTCGGCCGGCAATCTCTGGTTTTCTTAGATCGTTTGCAATTGGACAATCAGATCGGACAACTATCTTGTGACTCTATAAGTACTGCCTGAGCCGGCGGGCGGTGTAGATGAGCCCTAAGGCTACTTTTTCAATCAACTGGTAGCGTCATTCGGCATCCTGTAGTGTCCGACTGATGAAATACACCAGTTGTTGTTCATCTTGCTTCTCTTGAATCAGGACGGCACTGATTGAAGTGCCGGAGACAGCTAAATACACAATCATGTCGAGGTTGGCAACTGGTTTAGAAAGGATCGGAGGTGTACTAAGACGTTCCTTGAATTGTTGGAATGATGCTTCACACTCCGAGGTCCATTTGAACCGCTTCGTCTTTTTCAGCAAGAGAAGGATAGGTTTAGCTATCTCGGCTAGGCAAGGAAGGAACCGAGAGAGTGAGGTGAGCCGGCCTGCCAACTTCTGAACCTCTTTTAGAGTACCTGGACTTTTCATATCCAGAATGGCTTGGCATTTGTCAGGATTTGCCTCAATGCCTCGGCTGGACAGCATGAACCCTAAAACTTTGCCGCCTGAAACCCTGAACACACACTTCTCGGGATTGAGCCTCATTTGGTGGTGCCGAAGCGCCTGGAACACCTTGGTCAAGTCTTGTGCATGTGCAGATACGTTACTTGACTTTACCACCATGTCATCGATGTACACCTCCATACTTCGGCCAATATGGTCACTGAAAATTTTTTTCATCAGCCGTTGATAGGTGGCTCCGGCGTTTTTCAATCCGAAGGGCATCACCCGGTAGCAGTAATTGGCCGTTTCGGTGATGAACGCAGTTTTCTCTTCGTCTTGGGGGTGCATACGGATTTGATTATATCCGGAGTACGCATCCAGAAACGACAAAAATTTGTGACCAGATTCCCCATTCACAAGCCGATCAATATTTGGTAGGGGGTAGGCGTCCTTTGGGCAAGCTTTGTTTAAGTTGGTGTAGTCGGTACACATACGCCACTTCCCATTCGGCTTCTTTACCATGACTACATTGGCAGCCATGTCGTATAGTGCACTTCTCGGATGAACCGAGCATCTAGCAGTTTTGATACTTCAACTTCGATCGCGGCTTTCCTCTCTTCTCCGGCCTTCCGACGCCGCTGTGCAATCGGTTTTTCCTCTTTGCTGATTGAAAGCTTGTGGCAAAGGAAATCCGGGTCAATGCCAGGCATGTCAGAGGGATGCCATGCAAACAAGTCTTTGTTGTCAAGAATTACTTGTCCGATAGCACTCTTTTCTTGTTCAGAGAGGATGGTCCCTAGGTAAGTAAGCTGGGAGTCCGAAGCTCCAACTTGAATCGATTTCTTATCTTCAATAGGTTCTACCCTCTCTTCTTGATCGATTCGGGGGTCGAGGTCCATGTCCGATTGCTATGACACCGAGTGAACGCCTCTCGGCTCCTTAGGCACCTCGTCCTTCACTCTTGGTAATCGCAAGCTGGCAAAGTAGCATTCTCACACAGTCTTCTGATCAGCATTGACCGTAATGACTCGTCCTGACTCGGCCGGGAACTTCATGGCTAAATGAGGGGTGGACACAACCGCCCCAAGTCGATTCAGGGATGGCCGGCCGAGCAGAATATTATAAGATGTGCTGGCATGAACCACCACATATTTGACCGAGATGTCACGATATTCGGCTCCTTCAAACCCAAACCGGGTTGACAGCTTGATATATCCCTTTGTCTTGACTCGTTCACCTGAGAACCCAACTAGAGGTTCATCATAAGGAACTAGCTCGGATTCTAGAATACCCAACTACTTGAACGTGTTCCAATACAAGATGTCGGCTGAACTACCCTGATCAACCAATGTTTTACGTACAATACAGTTGTGAATTTCAACACTGATTACCATCGGATCATCTTGGTCCGGGTCAATGCCTTTGAAGTCGGCCTCGATGAAAGTGATGGTGGGAAGGTGGTGACGAGCTGTTTCCACTGCATGCACGTGCCGAACGGCTCGCCGGGGTCTCCGTTGGGCCGAGGAGGATGAGCCCCCGCCAGCGAATCCACTGGCTATGGTGTTGATGACTCGCCGAGGTTGCGCCGAAGGCTCTTCCTCTCGCCTATCTCTCGACCGACTACGTTCCCTGTATGAGTGTGTTCCCGTTCTCCTTTGCTCGGACTGATCATGCCGCCGAGACCTGTCGACATGTCGGGATGGGGTCAGACGGTCTATGAAGCCTTGCAGTTGCCCCTGCTTGATTAAGTCTTCAATTTTGTCTTTCAAAGCCGCGCATTCCTCTGTGGAATGCCCCCGATTACGATGGTACCTGCAAGACTTTGTTGTATCAGCCCTGGGAGGGGTCAAAGCTCGTTTTGGGACTGCTAGCACTTCTGAGGCAAGTGCTTGCTCTAGGACGGCCGATCTGCTTGTATTGAGTGGCGTATATTGTGAGTATCTCGGCCCGCGAGGAGGCTTCTCGCGAGGAATCAGCTCTTTTAGACGACTCCAGAAATTAGTCTCGACCGGCTTATCAGGTTTTGCCGACACCTCCGCTCGGGCTTGGTTCCAGAACTCAGCCAATTCTTCCATCTGCATGTATTTGTCGGCTCGCCGACGCAAGTCATCCATGTCAGTAGGGGGTTTCTTACAAATTCTGTTGGCGAAAGGCCCCGGTTTCAAGGCGGTGGTAAGGTGGTGCAGAGCTACAGCAGGGTTCAGGTCTCGGATTTCAAGCGCCGCTTTGTTGAATCGGCTCATGAACGCCCGAAGGGACTCCTTTTTCTCCTGACGGATGCTAACTAGTGCCAAAGAGGTCAACTGGTGGGGCCGGCTTGTAGCGAACTGAATGGTGAACTGGGAGGCTAACGTGTTGAACGAGTCAACCGAATTAGCAGGAATCCGAGTAAACCAACTCAGTGCTCGCCCTTTTAATGATGTTGGGAAGATTCGGCACAAGGCAGCGTCATCAGTAGTGCTTAGAGTAACTTGAGTTAAGAACACATCGACGTGCTCATCTGGGTCGGTGGTACCATCATACTTGTCTAGGGGCAACGACTTCCAATGGTTAAGAAGTGCAGACTGCATGATGTTTAGGGTAAAGGGGTGTCGGTGTGCTCCGGCCGGCATCGGTTGTGTCGGCCGGCTGACCGAAGCATGGACAGCTGGGGCAGCAACAGAAGTATGAGGGATAGAGGTGTGATGGCCGTGTGAGTGGAACGACCCCTAAGTGTGGGTTGTCTCAGAGGGTTTCCATGTGGGATCCCGGTACTGATTTTTGAGGGCAGCATTCTCCTCTCGCAACGCAGCCATCTTGGCAGCATCTCTCTCCCGTTGCTGTTTCATGGCGGCCATGTCTTCCTTCATTTCGCGCACCATGTCGGTCAAGTTTGTCTCCTCTACCATCTCGGCATTGTCTGCCCCGGACGGGTGCTCATCTTCGGACTGGTGGTCTTCAAGGTTAGTTCTTCTTGTCTTTGCCATAATGTCTTCAAAAAGTCTCTTCACAGCTATCGGTTCGGCCCCACGGTGGGCGCAAAAATGTACATGTCTGAGGGTATACTCGTAGTCTTCTAGGTGGTGAAGGGCCGAACGAATACTTCTGGTGGACACTTCAGAGGGGGGAGGTACCTGCAAAAGGCACTCCGATGCTCAAGTCAGGACAAACACGATTTTCTAGGGTAAAGAATGAACAGTGACGTACCTCGTTACGTGTGACCTATTTATAATACCTGACATGGGCTTGAACATGGTGGGCCTTTTCTGACACTTACCAAATTAGGTAATAAGATGCTAATCAGTTAATCATGTCTTAATCATGCACTTATCCTTGTTAACTGTGATTTGTACTATAATCCGTTTAACCTTTCGGTGCATTGTCGAGCCGACAGGAAGAGGCTTGGGAAAATGCACGTCTTCGGCTGTTGACCGGACCGACAAACGCTTACTCAGTTACCTTACTTACTCGGCGTTTGGCCGAGCCGATAGGTAGTGTATGGAGATGCATCATGTTGTTTGCATCGGCCTTAAACCGAGCCGATATGTGCTAGTAGACTATTCTC